TTTACTGACATTCTTCAATATGCCTCTATTCATTCACATAATATCGATTAAAAAAAAACATATTTTTACATGTTAAAATGTGCACTTTTTACATTTTCGAAAAAGGTTTTTCTTTTGAAAAATAAAGCGAATCTGAGGACGATGATACCCACAAAGTTGCTTTATAAAAAAAATAAAAATCGTTCTCTTATGATTTTTTTTTGTGCGCTAAAAGCGCACATTCCAACGTATAAAAATGACTGTTTGTCTCATTCGGGTTTCTTACGTACAGAACGAAAAGAAGTTAAATATAAAAACGAGACAGCCCCCTTTCTTTCATCAAAACATACTTATCCCCTGTCGGTTCTCAATTTACATATAAGTAAGATAAAAGATTAGCATATTTCTTCGTTTGTTTTAAATGGCAACCAGTGGTAACTATGAATATATGAATGAAGACTCAATTCATGAAGATTTGCTCTGTCCTATATGCACTGATCCACTTGAAGATCCTGTCAGTGCTAATGAATGTGGACATACATTTTGTCGTAAATGTATCATTGATACTTTTCGTGATATGTCTACATGTCCAACATGTCGTCGTGATTTGACACTAGAAGATTATCATCCTGTTACCATTCGCCCATTTCTCAATCAACTCAATCAATTACTTGTTAAATGCAAATGGTGTTCGCAAACTAATATTCAACGAGGTAATTTCAAAGATCACATTACAAACTGTATGAATGTAATGATATCATGTCCAGCAGCTCATCTTAAGTGTAATTGGAATGGACGACGTGATCAAATACAAGATCACATTAGTGAATGTCCATTAATAAAAATTCAACCAATGATAGATGAACTCAATGCATTAGTCAAACAACAATCAGAACAAATACATTTTCTCTATACAATACTCGAAAAAACATCAAAAAGTCACAAAAAAGCATGTCAAGAGTACTATAAAGCAAATGGAGTAGCTTATTGTGATATTTGTAAAAAAAAATTTACATTTGTTGAGCACAAACGTCGACTACATTTTTGTCCTGATACAGATTTTTGTTCTCATTGTGTGCAAAAATATTTTCCGTAATAAATCATTATTTTAATGATTATATTCTATACGAAGTGTTAAGAAAAATAATATGAAATAAATATGATATTGTTTTGCTTTTTTATCTATTGTTGTCTAGACGATTCATCTAGGCATACATAATCATTGTGGTTTATATTCAACATTGAGAATGTCAGTGTGTTGCTTAAGAGCAGAACAAGAAACACACACATCACTTAACCACACCCATACCCTATTTATCTGTTGACATTGCTCAAGTAGTTGCAAAGATATATCGATAGGAAATTTGCGGAAAACTTTTATCCTATATATTATTATACCATTAACACTAGGCAATAGTAACAGAAAAATAAAACTAAAGTATCGATGTATGTAGATATCTCTGGAGAGAAGACTCATATCCACAATGACGATCACATCTACATCTGTGGCCTCACCAATATCCACATCTAGAGTGATAGGCACACAACACATCTACAACCACATTTACACCTTACATCTACACTCACATTCGAATTCGGCACACATAACCATACTCACCTACATACCACTCACAAACCCATTTTTTTTTTATTATGCTTGTGTCTGTAACACTCGGAAGTGCTTACATAATAAAAGAGAGAATTATAGATGTATAAGCGAAATGGTGTATCATTAAAGCAAAGCGTTACAATTGTGCCAACAATATGCTATACTGAGTACCAACTTCTGCACATGGGGATATATAGAGAGTAAATAAATGAAAAAGAAAAAAAAAATAACCCAAGAGTAAAAGAAAGAGAAGAAGATAGTGAGAGAAGTACTGATGATGAGTAGCAGCGGAGATACGTGAGTAGAGCGAGCAACTCGAAGGAAGACGAAAAACAAACCAAGAGAAACGAACGCGAGATAAAAAGTAATAAGAAAGAGAGCAAGAACGAAAAAAGAAAATTGCATAAGCATTACATTTAAGCGTCTTTCTGTGACATTAATTCACATCAACAAAGGACAACCATTTTAAAAGAGAAGACTCGTGTCGATCTTTCAATTGCCGAATACGACGTAAACAAAAAAAGTGCCCAAGATGATCGTTTTTTCTTTTATAAAAGTTATCCCACCCAAAAATATCTTCATAGAACAATGAAGAACCAAGATCAGTTGTGTAAATGGTCTTTAGTCTTCGTTGAATATATTTTTTAACATAAAATTCTAAGGGTTGTTCTGAGGTAATATTGAAAAGATTATGAGCAGAAACGAAGGGGCAGCGATGCACCAGCCGAAGTCCCACACGGAATTTTTGTTGCAATATATTTTGTTGAGATTCTGAGAGGATTGGAAAAAGTGGAAACAGCCAAGCGAAATGAGGGAACGTGAATGCGAAAAAACATTGCCGGAGAGCTTTACATGACATTTCGCGACCAGATTTCATCCATATTAGTTTTCCTAGCGATCTCTGAATATTTCCTATCGCTTTTTCGATTGTTGGTTTCAACGATAGTTTATCCGTCCAGGTAAAACCTAGGTATTTGAATTCTCTAACTAATTCGATTTTGTTTCCGTCTATCGTTACATTTACTATCGGTCTTTTTACTTGTGTATGAAAAAGTTGTACTACAGTTTTCGAAACATTTAACGGTTGTTTCCACTTTTTTGAATATATAAGAACCTGATTACAAATTCGTGTACCTTCTTTTTTTAAGTATTCAATCATCGGGTCTAAGTTTCTCATAATGGGAGGACTAATTAATACACAAAGATCATCTGAAAATAGATGACATGAATGAGCTCCCAGGTAATTTGTTAGATCTGAATGAAACACTATAAATAAGTATGGACTAAGACTACTGCCCTGTGGAAGTCCTATATGTATCTTAAATATTTTCGAAGTTATTTCACCATATTCTACGTAAGCTCTTCTATCTTTTAACCAACTATCAATCATTTTCAATAAGTTGAGAGGCATACCCAGTCTATCTAGTTTACACAGAAGAGCGGCATGCCATACACGATCATAAGCCTTTTGATAATCGACATAAAGCGGTAGTGTCGGAATATTGGCTGCCATGTTATTTTTGACTTCCTGATATATTGACAGAACGCGAGTAGGTAGAAGACTTTTTGGACGGAACCCCGATTGTTCTACGGGTACTAAACGATTTGTTTCAGCCCAGTGTCTGATTCTTAGTAAGAGCACTTTTTCGAACAGCTTAGAATGTGTAGCTAACAAGGATATCGGACGAGTTTGTTCACACTTTGGGATACCCGATTTCAACTTATTTAAGGTTATAATTTTAGCAATTTTCCAGTCATCTGGATAACAACACTCGTTTAACCATACATTAAAGCAATTTGCTAAGCACTCGATGTAACTTGGAGGAAGTTTTTTAATTATGAAGTTTGACACCAAATCAAAACCTGCTGACTTCTTTGGCTTTAACGTTTTGATTAATCGTGAGATTTCCCAAACACTAGTTTTTTCGACTTTATCTTTTGATACTAATAATTTATTTAGCAACTCTTTATATTCCATGTCTAACTGAGTTTCATGTACATTATAACAATCCAGAGCAGATGCTTTAAACTGTTCACTGTAATACTGATATAGTTCGTTTGTGATTTCTTGTTGAGTTGATATTATTTTAGAGCCATCCGAAAGTTTATAAAAAGGCAGCGTACGCGATTTGTGAATGCGAGATAAGTGTGTCCAAAACGCTTTATCTGATTTATCGTAAGACGTTTGAATGTTAACCAAAAAATATTGCCATTGAGCATTTTTGTATTTAGCAACTTCAACTTTGGTCTCTCTCGTCATTGTACGTAATAGCACCCTCGCTTCCTCATTAAAAACTCCCTTATGTCTTAAATGATAATATCTATTTCTCACTTTTCGTATTTCTTTTAATTTTTCGATGATATACTTCGGTAATGATGGTTTATATTTATCTCTCTCTTTCCAATGAGTCACTCTATTTTTGACAGCCGCGATGAAACGAATATATTGTTTGTACCACTCATCAGCACTATTTTTCTTTTGTTCTCTCATCCAGAATGTTTGTAATAGCGTTATTACTGCTTCAAATGCCTTCCAATTTGTATGAGGAAAAAAACTGTTTATATCGAAAAAAATGTTCTCACACGATAACACAATCGGCCAATGATCGCTAGTGCCAAAAAACAATGTTTCGCTTGAAATAGTACTCATATTAGAGAACGACAAATCTATATTACGTAGAGAGCGCTTAGATGAGTTGGACGTTGATGGAATATAATTGAGATTATTTTCATTAATCCATTCTTCCACGTGCGCACCTCTTCTATCAGTTATTGGACTATTCCATTCCTTGACTGTTGCATTAAAGTCACCTGATAGTATGGTACCTTCTACGACATAAGGCAAGATATCATCAAGATCACGCTCTTGACTAGTGGGCCAGTAAATACCAATGATACGTACTGGTTCTGATAGACCTGTTATATCAATGACAACTGTGTTCGGAATGTTAACCTCGATGCGCGTCGCTTTCAGATGCTTCCCTACTGCTATACATACTCCTCCATTCTTGTTAGTTCCCTTTTGATAGAACGTGTTAAAATGTGGTAATCGGCTCATGTTCCATAACTCACCAACTTCAGTAAATATACCAATAGAAGCTTGAATTTGATACACTAAATCAATAGCTTCAAGCGCACGCGTACCCCAACCTTCGACATTATAACATAGGATCTTAATATGTTCTTTTTGGGTTTGTGAAGAAGCTATTCCAACATTTCCCCATGGTTCTATAAGACTGTGTTCAAGGTTCTACCCGTGTACCATTCATCTAAAAGAGATAATACTAATTTCTGATCTTTAGGTGCAAAATTCCAAGTTTTCAGCCGGTGCATAGCTTCATCTATAGGACTAAATGAATAATTCTCTGAAGCAGGAAAGAAAACTTTAGCGTGTACATTAAGATCTGACGTTCTACTTATCATTCTGTGAAGATTTGTGAACTGATGCAGAGTGTTGATCAATGTTAGTATTATGCACAAACAGTTCAACTTGCTGATTTAATTGATTTAATTGGAAACCATTTATTAATCTTGAGGACACGACATGAAGGCGTTTGTAGTATTCGCTCGTGACTTGTACCAACGATGATCTTTCAACTTTGCTAGCAGTTAACGATGCTGGTATAACATATTGCATGAAGTCTTTCATAATATTGATAGTATCTGCTAAGACTGCTTGATATAGCTGAATATCAAGAGTAACGGTCTTTATACTTGATGATACTAGATCAACTTTATTTTCAAGCCGTTTGTTACTATCGATTAGTTTTGTCAGATTATCATTGATGGATTCAATTGTTTTATCAGTATATGATGCTCGTAAGTCATTCGACTCAGCAGTTGTACGTGGTAGCGCAGTATTCCATTTTTTATTGGAATGATTATCACTTGCTGCTAATGGTGGAAAGTCTTGCTCTCGACGTTCAAATGTAGGTGCTTTCTCTTGCGGTGAGAATCGCTGTAATAGTCCTTTTTGTATGGCATCTTCGACATCTTCCTTTAATTGATCTTTATATTCTTTTAAAACCTGACATTGACTATCCAACGAATGATGATCTCCATCACATTGAGCACATTTCGGTACATTTTTACACATATGAGGAGTATTGACATTCAGACCAGAGATGGACAAAATCGCACCGCGCCTCACCGCGCTTCCCCGCGCCACTGCTTGCGCCTAGGCGCTACGCACATCTCTCTTTCTCTTTGCTCTACCAATCAGTTTCTCAAACTCCACCGAATACCAGGATGCTCTAAGCATGCGCTCATCGAAGCTCAGACTAGTGTAGCGTAGGCGTGAGCAACGGCGCGGGGAAGCGCGGGGAGGCGCGGTGCGATTTTGTCCATCTCTGTTTCAGACTTTCAAGACAAATACGACATTTGCTTTCTGAGCTGCATTTGTTCCTTAAATGACCAATACGCCAACATTTCGTGCAGTACATTAAACGATTTCCCGGATAAAACTTGGTGATCGATAACCACGAATGACCTATTGCAATTCGACCCAGTTGCAACACAGCATTATATTCACGATAATCTTTCACTTCGAATCGATAATCATCTGTTCTTCTTTGGTATGCATAATGAATACGTTTAATACGATCTGCAGAAGCAATTGTTCGCTGAATTTCATTTGAAACAAAATTTTCATCTAATTCCCTAGGTACATAACGGACGACGAGAGTGAATGAATCTGGTATATATTTTGGTTTCACGACCACAATATCAATTCCATTTATCTTTGTTGGCCATTTATCCGAACTGACGAGAGTAGCGTAATCTTCTTTATTATTAACACCTAACTTTAGCTTTTTTCCTGCCCATCCTACTAATGTAAATCTATTGATTAAAACACCATTGGTTTGCAGTTCTTTCAGTATAAGATCACTTGCATGAAGAGCTGTTGGAATACTATTACGATCCGCATCCGAGGTGAATTCAATAAAGAAACATCGTAAATTAGACGATACCGCGTGCTTCAGTTGATTAAAAGAAATTCGTTTACGATTCGTATTATCTTGATTTATCTCTTGATGTTGTCTTACATCTGACGACATCGAAGACGATGGTTGCTGTGTTTGTAAATTAATTTCTGGTTGTACATTATGTGAGTGCTTATGTGCATTATTCTCAATACCCCTTCGAGGATATTTACGGAGACCTCTTCCGTTGCTGATCGAACCTCCGCTTTCATCTAGTGGATGACCGCGTTTCGGTGTTGAATTCACTGGTTGCATGAGTTGTTGTTGTTGTTGCTGATTTGACTTTGAATAATTTTTCTGCAGGTACTTGTGTACATTTAAAGCTGCTTGCGGACACTCCGATAAAAATCTTGATATAAGTTCAACTTGAACATTTTATATAGAACCTTGTTCCAGTGTCTCATATTCCTTTCCAGACTGAAGATCCTCATTAGGATCAATATTAATTGCCTCTGCCATCAGTACTCTCGTATCGACTTAGAGAGGCAGATGGACAAAGAATGTAACGATAACAAAAAAGAAAAATGTGACTATACTTCACGAAGCAAAAAATGAGAATGACTCACAAACCCATCCACAAACATCAATATCTACTTTCATGGCTCGTGTGCACAACCATAGCCACACTCTACATCCACACTCTATCCTAAATTATTAAAGTTAAAATATTTTAAAAAATTGAAGATGTATGTGAAAACATTGGCAATACTTAATATTGCCCAAATAGAAGAAATTGCTCACATAATCATAACTTCTGGTCTCCATATTGAGTAGAAATCATGTTTACATACATTGCATAATCAACAGTAATTGATTGACCATTGATGGAACAATTGAAATGAGTACGAGATTTGACCATTGACTTGATCAATCGGAAAAAAATGACCAACGTATACTGAAAATTGACATAAACAATTTTCATGTCCCATCGATCCTATTCCTCTATACTCATGTCTTCTTATTCACCTTTGTTCAATCTTCAGTCACAATCCAAAGTTGCTTGTTATTGGTTTTCAATTATAAGCAATCAACGATCTAAGAATTGAATCATCGATTATATGATTTTATTCTTTACACCATAGCAAACCATTCATTTTATAGATGATATCAATCACACAAAACTAGATATACACTGTACTACTTTAACGAACATATTCATTTTATTATCAGAATGACAATATACAAACTTTCAAAGCGCTACAATCAAATCATCATCAGACAAAAACAACAACATTCCGTCATAAAATACAAAATATAAGACAAACATGTTTCATTCTCCTTTTTCAGTTTTATACATTTAGCGTTAAGCTCATTATCACTGAAATCGATATAAAAAAATTAGAAAGAATACAAAGCTTGATTAATGATAATTATCAACGCTATGACAAATGCTTGATCTTCATTAGCATCAATTTCTGCTCCATAAATACCAGCCAAAGTAATCCATTTTCTACTTACAATAGCCACTGTGCGTCTTTCTTTTGTTAATGTGAATGAATGACCTAACAAATCCAATGATTCTAATTTATATTCTCCATAAACTGAATCGATTGAGTATTTATCATGCAATGAAAATTTCTTCTTGACTAATGCTAATTGACGACCCTCATCTCCATCACGTGCTGACAATATTTTGTATGTTGAACGAAAATGAAGTAGGTCTTCTTCAATCTTCATCAGGATACTAAAAGTAAAAATAGAGATTGTTTGGAATAGCAAATATCGAACAACAATCACTAGAGAATGATGATTTACTATCAGTACACATCTTTCAGTTGTTCGAATAGTATTACAGAGAACAATCAATTGAATTTTATATTCTTCCTATGATATATTATTCAATGATTAAATATATTGCTATAATTAATATGCATGGGTATCCTCAACTTTCACTCTATTAATTTGACATAGAAAACATGCAACTAAGACATGAACTCACTTTCCAGCCATATCTTCCAAAAAAATTTTGTCAGCAAGTGTTAACAGTTTTGCTCGAACAATGAAGACATCTTGATCCGATTCGTCTTTAATCTTGTAATTGTCACGTAGCGACAATATCTTCTCGCGAATATGATAACGACAAGTAGATGTTGCTTCACCAAGAGGATCGATTGTTAAATATACATGCGACATAATCCGAAATTTTTGGTGAGAATGAACGCAGATATATTATATTCGAGAAATCTTGAGCATACAATTTTATTCTATTATTTGAGTTAGATTTCTATGAAGAAAATATGTTTATATTTAAAATTCCATAGATAAAATTTACAATAACAGATGTTTTTTTTTTGTTTCCTACCGTGTCTTTCTTTTACTTGTTCTTAGTTTAGTAATATTGACAAAGAAACTCTAACGTGTGAAATTGCAAATTAATTAAAGAAAGACTATCAAAATATCATGAATTATATATAATCATAGTTTCATTCCTGTTTGCGTGTTTTTTTTCTGTTCATTTGATTTATTTGCAACCATTAATTTTAGTAGAACATTTTCATTCTTAGTTGTAGAAGTAAACCATGAAAAAATATACTGCATTTTTGTGAATATTTGTGTCATAGTGTTTTATCTTCTTTATCATTGGTGCAAGCAGATCATAGAATGACTAGCTGGTTATCAGAAATTTTATCCGAATGTTTTTGAAAAAATTTTTCTTCTTCTCGTCGATCAATAATATTTATTGACGCACAGACTTAAGTTTCAAAGTGTTAAATAAACCAAAGAAAGATTAATTTATAATCACTGACGTCATTTTTTCCATTGCATTTTTCTGTTTCCGTATTATTTTTCTTTTAACTTTTCTCTGACATTTTATATTGACGTCGTCAATATCATGAACGAGCACTTTCTTTTCTAAAATAATATTATTCTTAAGAAGGCATAATATTCTCTTCAAATTTTGAGTAAAACACATTGTATATATTATACAATTCAATGTTCGTTTGATAAATGTATCTATTGAATGATTTTTAGAGTAAAACATTGTTGAAAGACTAATCTGAATATTTTCTAACGCAGTAAAATTTCAAAACCAAAAATATTAAACTTTTTCGGTAATTACTCGTGAATTAAATGAGGAACTTTATGTAATTCAAATTCGATTTCTATTTTGTTTTAAGTAAAATTTTATTTTGCCAGAAGATCTTAATGACTATCTACACATCACATCGTACTACTAGTCAATCAAAAGTTTCATACAACAATCTAAGACTATTTTTGATTCATCTGTAAATATGTCTTATTGTTAAAAATTAATAACTCAATGGAAATAAATATAAAAATTGTGTAAACATATTTCAGCTCAAATTATATTGATTTAATTGTTGTGCTGCGTCAAATAAAACTTTTGAGAATTTTATACACATTTTTAAATTAATTCTCATTTTTTTTTTATTTTTCAAAAACAAAGTTAAAATTTCGGCTTTTTCCGAAAAAGTTTTTATAATTAGTAGACAAACGAAATTTCAGAATCTTGCTTGATATCAAAAATCGACTTCGATCATATCTATAGACAATGAATAGAAAATCAAAAAACTTATTAAAACAACTTCTAACATTCATTTCTACTCTAATGCTTACGGTCTCAGTTTGTTTCACCTTCATCACTGACCTAGATTATCTTAGTACATGTACTTCTAAAATTATTCTAGTCGAAGATCAATGTTAACATATCGATTTGCATTGACCTTGTTCACAATGTTATTATTTCACGCATACATAAACGATGTTTATTTCAACTATATCTATACTTCATTCTCTTTTTATTTTGTTTTATAATATTCTTACGAACTAAACAATAAAGTAAAACTGATAGGAAAAGACATGGTATATCTTCTCGTCGGTATTATTATCATACAAAAAGACAGAAAGTATATTTACAATTAAAATGAAGATCATTTATTTCAATGTAGTAATAACGTTCTGAAGAAGATTAATGTTAACCGAATTGTCGACATTTATTTTTATTTTATATTATCCAAGAAATTCATTTACACAGGAAAATGATGATTATATTGTAAAAAAAAAACGTCAAATCAATTATATATTTGCTTTGTCACAATCATTTTACATTAAAAAAAAAGATGATATCACCAATCAAAATAGTTAATTGTTCTCTATCTATATACAATAGAATTTTTAAGAAATTTACTATAGGAACTGAAATATAATAAAAACAAAAAAAGTTGTTCATTGACGTTATCCAGTTTTTCCAAGTAACGCGATTTGAATTGTTCTATCTATTCAAGTTCCACAATCTACAAAAGTTTTGAATGATACTTGTGTAAGAAGGAAGTTGTTCGTTTTATTTTCTTCAATTACTCTATGAAAATTACATAATCTATCATTTTACAATCATTTTAATCCTGATAAATCTTTTAGGTACAAAATAAATGTGTCAATATATTCTTGTTTTTCTTTTGTTAGAATCTCGTCAAATTAGAATACAAAACGAACGCTTTTGAATTTTCACGATATCTGTATGAAAAGCTGTAATCTACTGTTTCACACATCATCTTATGGTATTTTTCGTCGAAAATCAGAAATTTGTTAGTTTTTTTGCAACATAGACTTCAGTTAAATTAGAAGAAATTGAGTAATTTTCGAGATTCGTCAATCTTCAGTCGAAAAGCTTGGTGAACCTATGGAATACATATTTAAGGTAAATGGATATGATATTGAAAAAACCTGTTTCCATTTTAATATCATTTTGAAGCAATATGTCTTTCGATTATTCATTGATAGAGAACATTGAATTAGTTTTATTGAAAAAATCATCTTCTTTATAACGAAAAACGATTGTGACAGAGTGAAACAGACCTTAATTTGATCTCACAATAACATGGTTGAACAGTTTCTAGCTTGTTGTTCTTACATTGTTAAAGTTTTCCAGTAGGGAAAGAAACTAATTTTTTTTTATCAACAATTCCTTTAAAACAAAGCAGATCTTCTACGTAAATATATACATTTATCGAACATTTGGATGAATTATATTTCCTTGAAAATATATATATATATTGAAAAAATACAAATAACATCTATAGATTGTTTGTCATCATCTAAAAAATGTTGGTTATATACATTTGAGAACGTCATATAGAGAAAAAAAATATTTTCAGATTGATTTTGAAAAATAAAGTCAGCAGAATCATTTTAAATTATTTTGTTTTTTCGTCATATTGTATGTATTCGTTTCATTACGAAATATAAATTCAAAATAGAATGTCCTTCTTTTTTTTTATTATTTATTTTAATTT